GCAGCAGCAGCGGGGCCTGAGGCGTCATGAGCAGCCGGCGCTGCAGGTGCAGCAGCAAGCACCGCAGCAGGTTTGCTGCTCCCAGCAGCAGTTTAATATTTTCGGTTTTTGCTGCATCTCTCGCAACCAAGACAACATCACGAACAGGAAAAGCAGAGAGGAGGCTTGCTGCTGCTTCTGCTGCTGCTGCTGCTGCTGCTGCTGCTGCTGCTGAGGGTGCTGCTGCTGCACCTGCAGCAGCTGCTGCAGCAGACCGCTGCACTGCAGCAGCTAACACAGGCAAGCCCTCACTGAGGCGATCCATGTGCTGCTGCAGCAGCGCAGCAGCAGCAGCACATGATTCCTGTAATCTGCTGCTGCTGCTGCTGCTGCTGCTGCTGCCTGTCTTCTTCTTGCTGTCCTGCAGCAAACGCTTCAGCTCCCTATCCACTGCAACACAAGCCTCGATTGCTGCTTCTCGCTGCTCTGCCCATGGGAGCCGAGCTGCTGCTGCTGCTGCTGCTGCTGTTGCTGCTGCTGCTGCTGTTGTTGTTGTTCCTGCTGCTGCTGCTGCTGGCGGTGGCGGTGGGGTGTCTGCAGCTGCTGCTGCGCCCGCTTCAGATGCAGCAGCATTTGTTGGGTTTGCTGCTGCTGCTGCTGCTGCAGCAGTAGCAGCAGCAGCTGCTGCTGCTGTTGTTGTTGTTGCTGCTGCTGCTGCTGCATCATCTGCTGCATCAGTAGGCGCTGCAGGCGAGTCGGCAGCGCTTGCTGCTGCTGCTGTCATTCTCGTTTGCTGCGCATGTTGTTGTTGCTGCTGCTGCTATTGCTGCTGTTGTGTCTGCTGCTTCTCTTGATGCCTGTGCTGTTGCTGCTGCTGCAGTTGCTGCTGCTGCTGCTGCTGCTGCTGCTGCTGCTGCTGCTGGGGTCATGAGGCGATTGCTCACCCTCTATAAAACGGCTGTCTTCAAGCTGACTCAGCAGCTGCAGCGTGTTTCTGCTGCTGCTGCTGCTGTTGTTGTTGTTGCTGCTGCTGCTGCTGCTGAGACTGCCTGGCTTGCTGCTTCGTGTTGCAGCACGAGGCTCAGCAGCTGTCTGCTGCTGCTGCTGCTGCAGCAGATGTGGTAGAGTGTTTGAATTCGCTGCAGTCTTTTTAGCTTCTTGCTGCTGCTGCTGTGAAAGCTTCAACATTCAGTCAGTTGCTGCTGCTGCTGCTGCTGCTGTTGCTGTTGCTGCTGCTGCAGCCCCAGTCGCAACTGCAGCAGCAGCAGCAGCAGCAGCAGCAGCAGCAGCTGGACGTAATCAAGTTCTAGCTCTGCTGCTCGCCATCTAAAGTAAAATTTCTGCAGCAAATGAAACAAAGAGCAGACAACGGCCTCCCTATGACCCCAGACACAGCAGCTGTAGCAGCAGCAGCAGCAACAGCAGCAGCAGCAGCAGCAGCAGCGGGACAGCAGCAGAAACAGGTGGAGCTAACAGCAGCAGCAGCAGCAGCGCCGTTTGCTTACGGCTCTGTCGATGAATTTTTATGAAATCTTTTCACTGGCTTAAGGGGCATAACGGCTGTTGCTGCAGCAGCAGGAGCAGCTGCAGCAGCAGCGGCGACTCCAGCAGCAGCAGCAGCAGCAGCAGCAGCAGCAGAGCTGCTTCTGCAGATGTTTTCTTCATGCCCTATCGGGAGCCTGGAGCCGGTGAGGGACCTAGATCTGGATCCTGGCAATTCTCTTCAGCAGCAGCAGCAGCAGCAGCAGCAGCAGCAGCAACAGCAGCAGCAGCAGCAGCAACAGCTGCTGCTGCATGAGCAGCAGCAGCAGCAGCACAGTGGCCGCCTGGTGTGTATAGAATGCGGGGCCCCAGTGGAGTGTATATACAGAGCGTTTCCCCCTGGCTCAGATAACATACGCCTTGTCTGCTGCAGCAGCTGCAGCAGACTAGCTGATCCCTATCTGCAGCACGACTCGTTGCTGCTGGCTCTTGATCTGCTGCTGCATAAACCTCAGGTGTATAGGCACCTCCTATACAACAGAAAACCCCACACACGGGGATCCGTTCCCGCCAGCATCATTAAATTCACTATTGCATGCGTTTTCTTTGATGCTTACCTAGAGTGGTTCCTGCTGCACTCGCCGCAGCACACACAGCAGCAGCAGCAGCAGCAGCAGCAGCAGCAGCAGCAGCAGCAGCAGCAGCAGAGGCAGCAGAAGAAAGGAGAATCCAACTGCTCAAACAGCAGCAGCAGCAGCAGCAGCAGCAGCATATATGCAGCAGGTGATACTGCTCAGCTCCAGTGCGATGGATCGTCAGCTGCTGCTGTTGCTGCAGAGCTGCAGCAGCAGCAGCAGCAGCAGCAGCAGCAGCAGCGCAGCAGCTGCAGCAGAAGAAGAAGCCTGTTCTGGAGGCCTTCTGTTATAGCGCTGGTTGCATGCGGCTTTGCTGCTGTCTTCTCCCCGCATAGAAAGTACTGCAGCATCAGCAGCAGCAGCAGCAGCAGCAACAGCTGCAGCAGCAGCAGCTGCAGCAGCAGCTGCAGCAGCAGCATTGGCAGCAGCAGATTCATGCATGACTGTCACCCTGCAGCAGATAACAGTCTGCTGCTGCTGCCGGAGCATCTTCACAACGTAGATGCAGCAGCAGCAGCAACAGCAGCAACAGCAGCAACAGCAACAGCAGCAGCAGCAGATGCAGCAGCAGATGAGCGCTATGTATTCAGCTGCACGCGTGATCAGGAGCCTTGCTGCAGCAAGAAGGACAGCAGCAGCAACAGCAGCACGCACTGTATCAGCAGCAGCAGCAGCAGCAGCAGCAGCATCTCCTATTGCAGCAACAGCAGCAGCAACAGCAGCAGCAGCAGCAGCAACTGTAAGGAGAACCAAAAGGATGTTTCTTCGCTTCCTGGGCGACCCATGAATCCGCAACAACAGCAGCAGCAACAGCAACAGCAGCAGCAACAGCAGCAGCAGCAGCAGCAGCAGCAGCAAACAGCTGAGTTGCATGCAGCGCAGCTATTGACATCATCATCAGGTGCAGCAATAGAGCAGCAGCTGCTGGTGCTGCTGTCTTCTGCTTCTGAGCTGCTGACCTTTCTAGGCACAGCAGTGCTGCTCACCTGGTTGTTTGTTGTATGGAGGAGACGAACACGTGCTGCTGCTGCTGCTGCTGCTGCTGCTGCTGCTGCTGCTGCTCCTAGTGCTGCTGCTGCTGCTGGTGCTGCTGCTCCTAGTTCTGCTGCTGCTGCTGCCGCTGCAAATTCAGCAGCAGCAACAGCAGCAGTAGAGCCTGCCCCACCGACAGCAATAGAACCAGCAGCAGCAGCAGCAACACCAGCAGCACCAGCACCAGCACCAGCACGACCAGCACCAGCAGCACCAGCAGCAGCACCAGCACCAGCAGCACCAGCACCATCACCAGCACCACCAACAGCACCACCAGCAGCAGCACCACCAGCACCACCAGCAGCACCAGCAGCAGCAGCAGCAGCAGCAGCAGCAGCAGGAGCAGCAGCAGGAGGAGAGGATGTATTTGAGTTGGGTGTGTTGCTGACGGCATTAGGTTTATCTTTATATAGTAAGATAGCGACGCTGCTTATTATGGCCTGGAAGGAGGCGCTGCTGCTGCGGCACTGTGTTGCTGTTCTGAGTTTCAGCAGCAACATAGTAGCAATCAATGTATTTCTTTATCCTGTTCATCCTTCTGTTGGTTTATTTATTGCTGCTGCTGCTGCTGCTGCTAGAGCTGCTGTTAGAGCTCTCTTCTGGGCTTTGCTGCAGCAAGCTATTCCTGCTGCTGCTGCTGCTGCTGCTGCTGCTCATGCTGCAGGAGAAACACAAATCGATAGAATTATACGACTCTTCATTTAATATGTATACACCTGCTGCTGCTGCTGCTGCTGCTGCTGCTGCTGCTGCTGTTGCTGCGGCGGCGGCGGCGGCGGCTGCTGCTGCAGCTGTTGGTGTTGCTGCTGTTGCTGCTGCTGCTGTTGGTGTTGCTGCTGCTGTTGGTGTAGCAGCAGCAGCAACAGCAGCAATAGCAGCAGCAGCAATTGCAGCAGCAGCAGCAGCAGCAGCAGCAATTGCAGCAGCAGCAGCAGATAGATACAACCGTACACCTATCTATATAACATATTTTTTTTCTTTTTTTTTTCTTTTTTCTTTTTTCTTTTTTTATATTTGTTTTGTTGTCGCCAGCTGCGTCTATTTATATTTGTTTATTTTTATTTATTAGTATAAATAAATATAAATAAATATAAATATAAATCAATATAAATATAAATAAATATAAATAAATATAAATAAATATAAATAAATATAAATAGATATAAATATATAAATGTAGCAATACACCCCAAGACAAACAAATATAAATAAACACACACTAACAAATATAAATAAACAAAAGCAAATATA